GGTGGTAGTAGTTGTAGTAGTGGTAGTAGTGGTAGTAGTAGTAGTAGTAGTAGCAGTAGTAGTAGTAGTAGTAGGAGTAGGAGTAGGAGTAGGAGTAGTGGGAGTACTAGTACTACGTTTCTAGTGCTAGTACTACTAGTTGCACGAGTAGTGCTAGAACAAGTAGTACCCTTCACCCACCCGGCGCGACGCCTAGACCTGTCATTTTTCGGACTTCGTGTTGTCAAAAATGTTGTGTTTTACAGTAGTTGTTTTGTCGTTGTTGAATTTGTGAAAAGCGCTTGGGTTTACTAATTGTTGATGTTGTCATTATGGTTGCTGCTCATGCTGACAGCCGAAAATGCTGGTATTTACGAAAGAGTCTTTGATTTTCGCAGTTGCTAGCTGTTTTTTTGCAGTCTATTACTGTACTACTAATCGTCGTAGTCGTAGTCGTAGTAGCAGTAGGTTAGCAGTAGAGCAACAGTAGCAGTAGCAGCAGCAGTAGCAGTGGTTGTTGTTGTTCTCATGTTCTTCTTCCACGTGTATGTAACAAGTATCACACAAGCAGAACCCACATGCTTGTAGCTTGTATCAACAAACCAGCCACGGGTACCAGGAAACCCTGGTTAAATCTGCATCTGTGTGTATGCATGAATTTTATATATACACACTTACACCTGCACACATACACACATATATTTCACTTCTACAAACCTACCTGCCTGCCTGTCTGTCTGTCTGTCTGTCTGTCTGTCTGTCTGTCTGTCTATCTACATATACACATACATACATACATACATACATACATACATACATACATACATACATATGCGGACATCCTTGTTGGAGATTCTGCTATTGCGTGACCAGCAGCTGACTGCCTATTGGAATCAGTTCCATGCTTTGGGCGGGCGCCTTCCCGCAAAAGTTAGTGGAGGAAGGTGCGGCAAGAATTTGTGCGATGCTAAACAGATCTGATTTGTGAAGACGCATCATTGTGTGATTTGGAAAAGATTTTGAGTTGCATGCGTTGCTTGCAAGCAGAACTCGGACATCAGATTTGATTCAGAAGTCCAGTTCGGGCAGCCCTATTCGATATGCTTGCACGAGGCTGCCAGAGTGCTCCTGGCTTGATTTGGAGGCGCTTCGGGACGACAAAGCCCGAATCATCAGAGGGTCCACAGTCCAACGTGTTTACCCCCTCTACAACGTGTTTCCAGAGCAGAACCGGTACGCAAGAAGTCCGCAGTCTCATTGTAAGCACGGTCACCGTGCAAAAATACTTGTATGGTCCAGCTGTTGCACCAGTAGGGGCATTTTCACCTAATTTCACATGATTATGTAGGGTATGTTGTGCGCTTTCCTTTTGGAAGGTGGTCCTCTGCGCCAGTCGGAAGAAGCCTGTCCCTCAGCACTGGGGCCCAGCTCCGAGTCACCTCCCTGAGTTTTGCACACTGTAGCTCGAGTGTGGCCACGTGCCTTAGGGCCGCGAGAAGCATTGCGCGCTGCTCTGTGCTGTTGGAGGAGGTCGCCCGAGTCGCATGTTGTAATTGGGAGACATGCGACAGTCATGCGACCCATCCTCCAAGCATAGCCGAAGCTCTCGGGAAAAGCTCTTCTACTTGTCGCATGTCAGGTCGTGCAGCAGTTGGCAGACTCTCCGTCCAAGGAGTTGATACCAAGTGTTCGAGCCTTGCAAGAGCATGTAGCAGCAGTGGAAGTTGCACTTTATGGCGCCGTTTGCTGCCCTGTCAGCTTTGAAACCGAAGCCTGAGTTTTCGGGTCAAGCGCGCATTAGCGCGACCTAAACCAGCTATTTGTAGCAATGAGCAGCATGTCCCATCGCCCAGCCGATGAACGAGTTGCAAAGCCATATTCCCGCCAAGGACTCGTTTCCTGGCTTCGCCGTTGGACCAGGCAAACTTCTACAACTACGAAGCCAGGGCAGGGCAACGCTACCGGTTCATCCGGACTCGTTTCCCGGATGCGCCATTGGGCCAAGCAAGCTCCTACCAAGTCAACGACGGGCAGCAGTGGATCGTGGCGGAAGCCTCAGGACAAGGGGCGGCGACGCAAGCCGCGCATCGGAGATTATTTCCAGTCCATCGACATTCAGAGCGAGGCTTCTTCCACCACGAGCTTGCCGAGCACTGCGTGCAGCTCGACTACCACCCAATCCTTGAGTGAAGATGAGACGTACGAGCTCTCTCCTGTGGCGAAGGTTGCGGCCAGGCCACGCAGAGCCGCAAGTGAATCCTGCTGTATGCCTTTCCTGATTTGAGGAGGTTTTGATTGATGGGAACAAGATATCTTCGGGCCGGAGGCCGGAGACCTTGTTGCTCGACCCGTGTGGTGACTTGGGGCTCGCGTAGATTGTAGAGAGATTCTACCCGTTTCTTCCTCCCCGAAGTCGAGGGATGTCTAATTAGGGATTGCGCAGAATCCGGGCGCGTATAAAGACCGTAAAGCTTGCCCGGTATTCGGAGGGTCGTGGACAATTTGCTTGTAGTTGGCGACTGGCTTGATTGAGACGGGTATTAGTCCGAGCTTAACTGCCTTCCGTTTGCCAAGCTAGCAGAGTCCACCATTCTCCTTGACACAGCCAGTCTGTGACCTCGGCAGACACGCGGCTGCAACGCATAGGCCTGTGAAGACTTGTACGAAGTGAAACGCAGCCAGGCACCTGTTTTGACCAGACTGGGCCAATCTGGACCGCCCTTGAATCGCAAGTGCACAATGCCATCCCAGTTCATGAATTGGAATTTGAACACCGATTTCTTGCCGCCGGTGTTCCAAGAGAGGGCACTGGCAGCTGCATGGTTTTTATTGGATCTGGCAGAAGGCTGCCGAAAATGGGTGTCGCACTTATGTCGAACTTGTTGGTCACCTGAGCTTCTCGAGCTTTCTCGTGTCCTTTGCCATGCCTTCTTCAAAACACCTGTGTCAGGCCAGAAAGCTTTACTCTCCTCTCGGGCAAGGACCATACCAGGCAACTCGGGTCTTGCGAGAGCGACAGAGAAGCCCACTGGCGTTGGCTGTGTTGTAGCTACATGTTTTGTTGGCTGTGCCCGCATGCAATCATTCCAGATCATGCCATCATGCAAAAACACCGCTATAGCTCTAGCTTTGCGGTGCAAATAGTGAAGCCACAGCTGCCTTTCTGAGAGGAGCTCGTGGATGCAGAGCTCTTCGTTGGATTCTTCGAGGGAGAAGAGGGTGTAGTTGGAATTTCCGTCAAGCCGATGCCTGAGACGGTCTTCTATTGCTGCCTGCTCGTTATGTTACTCGCAGTCATTGCTAGATTGGGGCTCTTGCCGCTGCTGGCGAGCCTTTTGTGACAAGCAAGCCCCGGAAAGCATCCACAAACGTAGCAAGAACGGATGCCCTTGACGTTCCGATATGCTTCGGACAGTAGTTGCAGCCGCCGGAGCCGTTACAGATGCTGATGCTTCTTGCCTTTCCCACACCCAGCACTCCGCTGCTTCGAGTCAGGTCGGTCCATGCCGAGCTCTCAGTGGAAGCATCGATACCTCAGACAAGATGGCGCGCGGTTATGATCCCATACCGCGAACACGTGTGCTGTCACTTTCAGTCCTGGAACTGGGTGAGGAAGATGCCAGATCAGGGTCCGGCTTTTTCAGGGAGAACGTCTCCTGGAATATCCGATTGATTTTCGCGAGTCACCTTCAATCAACATTGTTTCCGAGGGCCTCGCAGTCGGCTTCACAAACCCGACGTTCGTTCGTGCCTGCCTGAGCTGCAGCTGTTAACCACCATCTTGCGTCGCATGCAGTCGCATACCCGAGGTGCGACTGTTCGGCAAAGCTGTGCTGGGGCAGTGCCAGCCCGAGTAGGATAGTAGGCAGGTGGCGGTAGACCTGGGTGGGTAATGGCATGGGATGTACACGTGCGATCCATATACATATAGGCGTATGCACACGCGTTTACACTTCTTGCGTGAAGACGATATCAACCAGTACCAAGCATGCAGCCCGTCCCAATGTTCAGACCCATGCGTCAAGGTACAGAGTCTGCCGGCCAAAGTTCGAGACGTCACGGAAGCGAGGGCCACATGCTTCACGGCTTGTGTTTCGTGGTAAGAGCATGAGAGAAGTGTATTTCCCGAATCGAGGTCAGAAGCCAGACAGTGAACCCTCACTGGGGCGAGATATTAGAGTTTGAGGCATGGGTGACCAGTGTTTGTAAAGTATGTGGATCGCGCTGCTTCTCGGCCTGTCGTGCAGATTCCCGTCTTCGTCGGGGATCGTCACGTCTCGCACAGTCCTGACTACCGCCACGCCCCCGGCCATCTAGCTGTAGCTGTTCCAGTTCTTTTTCTTGCTTTCGCAATATCCATCAGGCCTTCACTTTCAGCTGTTTGGCAAGGAGCGGATGCTGCTCGGCTCCGCACACATCGATGCCGGCGATTCTTACCTGCCTGAGCCGAGTTTCGCTAGATATCTGAGGAATTCCGACAAACTCCTGGCAGAGCTGTTTATACCCCTAGCAGATGCTATCCGTGCAGACGGCCAGAAGGCAGCACCAACCTTTTCGAGGGGCAACTATCTGGAGTTTTGCCATAGAGCTCAGTCGGGGGAAGTTAGCAGAACCTGTGGAGAAATGATTCAGGCACAGTCCTTCGAACTGAAGCCGACAGAGCAGCTGATGCGGGCCTGCTCCACAGTGAGATTCGATGCGAATTGAATAGCAGGGCCAAGCCTGCTGTCACCTCGCCTGACAAGTCGATAGTGAGCTAAAGTTGCGAAAGGAAGGAGAAGACGAGCTAGATTGTGTATCCGTTTGCGTTCAAGCGGGCGAATGAACGACAGAAGTTGCAATGAACCCCCGTCATGTTGAGGGCAAGAAGGCCAAGAGAAGCAGTGCCAGAAGCTCGGTTATGATACAGTTGCAAGCAGGCAGACCTGTTGACCGGTTTGGCCGGATGGTGAAGTCCCATGCCGATCACGGAGGGAACGCCACGAGCAAATGAGCTGGGCCGTATCTAGTGCAGAAAACAGGACTTGAGTGGCGGCCACTGAATAGTGCTCGCAAGCTTCAGCCGCAACCGATAAGGCAGCGAGCGACACGGTGAAGCCCCCAGATTTTGTTCGGTATCCAACTCTAATGCGGTGTGCAGATGACTGACTTTCTGTGCTGAACTGGTGTTCTGTAGCTTCGTATCATTCCATGTCATGTCGCTGCTTCGAGCTTCATGCAAAGGTATCAGTTGTGACTGTGTATTGCAGTGTGCCAGGAAAAGCCAACTCTCAGCCCAGACCTGAGCCTCAGCTTGCCTTTGGCACACGCTGAGTGGCCACTTTGATTCTCGGGCTTGGCCATGGAGAGATGCGTGCTCTGCAGCTTGCAACTCTGCGCCTCGCGATCTGCCATGCACGCATTTTGCTCGAAGGCCCGCTGTTTGGCACGCCATTGGATGAAACTCTCATTTGCGCCGTTTGTGTGCGCAGCTTCTGAGGTTTGGCCTTCCAGGCCATCGTGCGGGGCGCTGAGGACTGTCAGCATGCTTACACTTGAGCACCCCCAACAAGGTTCCTGAACTCCAACTGGTGCCAAAGAAAATCTGCTCATCTTGAACGCCTCCGAACCAACATCTTGTCGAGAGTCTACATCTCCCTCGACAGCCTTCGTAGAAACTCTGCTGCCGTCCACATGAAATCGAAGAACCTCTACTTCACTGGCATTTGGTGTGCAGGGGAGTCTTGAGGCCCTGTCCAAAGCAGATTCAGTGCACAGTGGAGCGTGCGCTCCTCGGCTGTGTGACTGCACATCGCAGCAAAATGCGCTAAGCACGATCGGGTGTGAGCAGTCGTGGCTTTGCGGTCCGCGGCCTTTGATGCGTCAGTCTTAGCATTTGATGAATCGTTTGCACATCGGAAGTCGGCAGGTCTCGACAATGTTAAGTATGCCGGCACCAGCCTGAGTCAGAAGATGACCGGCCGTCATGGCAGTCATTGATGGACTGCAGTACATTCACTGCCACGCCTCTTCATGGTCAGCACCTGCAGCACTATATCTGCTTCTTTGTCAGGCACAGTGGACAAAAACCTCCAAGTTCGGATGTGCTTTGTGGAAGGCGATGCGATGCTGCCCTGGCCTCAGCTCGCTCTTGCAAAGGGCATGAGAGCAAGACCGGACACAGGTCACATACGACAGTGAGAACTTCCGTGAAGCAGCAGACCATCAAACCGGTACACGACTCGGGGGTCGGCTGCGTTCTCGGCTCGACGGCTTTTCAGAGCGACAGGTCTGGAAGCAACGATGTGTCTTTGACATGCCACCCCAGTCCTGGCCTGTGCAAAGGGACCATTGGGTACCGTGTCATTGGCGTGAGAGGCCATGTCCATGATACATGGGTGGTTCAGGATTCCAGCCCGACCTGAGGCTTCTGCGCTCTGGCTTTGAACCTCGCCCGCCTTCTGTCCGGAAGGGATGGGTGCACGACACCAGGAGCCTCCTGCCTTGCCCTGTGTCGAGATCCCATGGGCTGGCTGGTCTTGTGAACATCTGATAGCCTCGAAGACTCCGGGCTTATTTCCTGACCTCGCTTTGGCTCGCAGTTCGTAGCATGGGGCGCAGCAAGTGCATGAATTCAAGAGACCTGGCCGCCTCACCATCCAAGGTGGGGGCTTCCCTGTCCTGTGAGCGCTCAGGGTCCATGGGAATCAGCCCGGAGGTCGGCCATGGTGGCATCTCGATCGCCCTCAAGATCGCCTACAAAGACGCCTCGCACGCCTAGGGTGCAGCAGACAGCTCAGACTTCCGCATGGAGCAAGCGAGAGCCCAAACTGAGAAAGAGCCGAAGCCTCGCTTTGGAGGCGAATCTCTGATGAAGCTCTTTGCCTTCAGATGCAGCAGCTCTGGCCTCGGAGCTGGGGTGGCTGGGTTTGGGCACCCAAAGCCTTCGGAGGTTCCTGGACAACTGGCACTATGTGGTCATGAAGAGCTCTCTGGGAAAGACCATGGACCGCCTCAAGGCTTCGGTAGCGGACTCACCTTATCATTGTCGTCTGACCCGCCATAAGCAGCCTCTTTCGCTCAGATCATTCCTGCTTGAAGTGCTATCGACGTCTCAGAGCATCGAGCAGATGTGTCGTGATACGCCGTTCCAAACCTTCACGACCCGGAGTCTGAAGGCCACATCTTTGCCAACATCGTTAAAATAAGTCATCTGGAAAGACTAAAGAGAATACACCGGCTCGGAGCAAGACATGCGCCATCGCGCTGTGCTGGTGCTGGTCCTCTGGGTGTGTCTTGATCGAACCGCAAATCTGCAGCGTCCAGAAAGTGACGGAGCAAAGATAGGGACGGCATGCATAAGGTTTGCCAACCTGGCGAACCTCGATGATGGAGGCTTGAGCCCTTGCACACTCCCTCTGACGCTGCATTCGTGAGTAACATATACGGATGAGCTCATATGCATGCACGCATGCGTGTAATTCTCTTGCGCTGGCAGGCGCACTGAGTAAGCGATGCGGCCTATCGCCAGGCCGTCTTCTGCAGAGGCAGCCCCTTGTTACTCAGTGTGCTGCAGGTGACCGTGTTGTTCCTGTCCCATTGGCTTTTTTGTGAGACCTTCCTTCTGTGTTCCAGTTGGAGGCGAAGTATGAGTGGCCTAGCAGCGACGGCGATGTGCCTCGGATGAGTGCTTCGGATTTTGTTTTGGTTGCACCTCGTCTCATGTCCTTCGCATGGTAGCTTGCCAAGCGGCCGCAGGGCCTCGGCTCCGGCAGCAAAGGACACTTCCCATCGGTCCGCTATGCCCCTTCCGCTCTGAATTCTGGTCTGCAGAAGCCGTCAACAACTATGCTGCCGAGATGCCCATCAAGCCACCTTCTTGCAAATACATGCCAGACATGGGCTGAGCAGCAAGAGACTGTCACGAGGCAAAGGCGCCTCACCGAGCTCATGTCCAAATTGCAGCAGGGAACTCCTCTGACTCCCGAGGCCGACGCTGTCCATGTTCAGCTTAAAAGTAGTGACAAGCAGTCAAATGGAGTTTGAAGCTGGAGGAACAATCAGAGATGTGCTGCTTGGCGGACGAGCTTTCACCCACTGGGCGCCAGCTGCGTGTGTTGCTTACTGCAAAATCAGGTCGGGACATGCGGGAAACCAACGACATGTGGCTTGCCACGAACTTCCGATTGAGACGGGCCGACGACTTTCAAGCCCTGGAACTCTTTGCCCTCACGGAGGTGCACCACACTTTCTGTCACAGGGTCACCACAGTTGATCTTCTCTCGGTAGCAGGTCCGGATGCAGAGGGGCGGGTTGAGCATGGATGCAGTCGAGGCCTGCCGAAACATGCGGAAGCCCAGAATGTCAACAACAACACATAGCTAACTAACTATAGAAATAGAACACACACATGTATATATATATATATGCATATATAATATGTGTGCGTGTAACTATATGTAACTTTTAGTAAATACCGGATAGTTTCGACGGACACATATCTGTAGATATGTACACGCACACACATGCGCACAGACGCTCTGACATGTATGTCTGTTTATTGTCGATTTTTCTGGTTCATTCGTTTTTGGCGCAGCGCAAGTGTCCGTCAGGACAACTAGCTATTATGAAATTGTTGGTACATCATGCTGTGATCTAGACTGCGTCCGTACAGGAGAGCCAGCTTTCTTGACCTCGACCCTAGCGCAGCCACCCGCGGTGAAGCTAGTGCCAATCCCTTTGACGCAATCCCACGCACTGTGGTTGCCGCAGCCCCTTCTTGCACACGCAGATGACCTGCCGACAAGCTGCGCCGATCCTATGACAGCCACAAGGCCTCCTCCGCCCCGCCCCTCCAAGCAGCCTGCTGGCATGCATGCCCTACGGTCGGCCGGTTCAACGACCTTGTGGGCGATGCTAATGCCAACCAAAAATTACGGGCACGACACGGAAGCAGCCGTATAGCTAGACGAGGCCTCGTCCTCATTCCGAGTCACGAGGGACGACTGCCGAGGGATCCAAACTCTGTCTCTCGGCATAAAATACACATATCAAATCACACGTAGATGTTTGCTCCTTGGTGTTGCAGACGACCCCGTGGTGATCCGGCTGATCGCGCGGGAGCATGCACCCGACTCGGACCCTTCGGAGTTCGATTCGGTGGAACTAAATTAGAGCCGTGTGCATAGACACAGATGGCACTGTACAGTCTACATGTGTCCTGCAGAGAAACACCACCACTTCGGAGACAAGCTGTCGCACAGCAGTTGGAATCCCTGGCACATCGATCCGTTCGATTAGTCGCTTTACAGATACTGCTGATGGCTGATGCGTCATGTGACGCAAATGTGCATTCTAGCAGCATAGCCCTACCAGGGGATGCCTGCATGAAGAACGACTTCGCCGTAAGGCATTCCGATCCCTGTGCAGCCGGAATGGAAGGCTGCATCAACGAGGACGTACAGCGGTTTCAGTTCGCATGACTTGCAGGCTTCCGACAATGAAACAGCAGCATTTCATTGGTCTGCGTGTGCATTCTGACGGTACCTTGTGTCTACCGCAGACACATCGGTCCTTCGAGAACGGATGCTTCCAGCACAAGAGCTGAGTGCCATGCCTGTTGAAGCATTTTTCAAGATTTCACATTGTGAAGGCTCTGTCGAGCGCCTAGCTGACGGGTCAGGTGGCTCACACCTCTCGGCCGGCACGGCTGCTTTTTCGGAGAATCTCGATATGGCAGGAGGCACCACCAACAATCGTTCTTTACCTGTACTCTTTCCTGAAGTGCTTGGACTTCTTCCAGCCAGCATACTACTTCTGCCCAGAGTATTTGGCCACATTAGCCTTAGTAGCTCGTTCTAGGAGGATGCAGAGCAAGTGCTGGACAGAAACCACTGGAGCGGCTGCCATCTGGGTTTAGAGAGACCGGAACTTCTTCGCGACCAGCAAGCGGTGAGGGCTGTGTCCAGATGGTGGATGACTGCCCGAACCATGAATATGTCTGTCGCAACACAATTCCGCAGAATTGCATGCCGCGGTGGAGCCTTCGACCTTCCGAGTCAAGATGAGTGTTCTTCAGGATACAGAGCAGTTCACTCGCTGCTTGGCTGTGCTGGCTTCCGCGTCTCTCCCAGTTTGAGGACGTGAGGATGCTCTTTGACGAGCAGCACGACAAGGGATTACGGCTAAAGTATGCATATCAATGTCGTGGCCGGGCGTTAAAGGCGAAGAATATGCGGCGGTACTATGAGGCCATGCTTCCTGTTGTTCGCAAGGGACGGCCAACCATGGCACAGGAAAAGATCACGAAGACATATCAGAACTGCATACAGAAATTCGATGGTCACAAGTTTCGATTGCTGTGTATGTTAGGTTCATCCACCAGACGCAGGCGTTTGAAGCAAAAAAATCTACATAGGAGGAAACTTATGAAGAAATGAATTTGAACGCATTACAGTCTGAGGCTGCCGCGGCAGAATCGGCCCTGATCGCACAGTCCATAAAATAGTCTATACTCGGTACGGGCCCGTCGCTACAGCGGAATTTTGACGGTGCTCAGTGGATGTCCCGACCCATCCACCTGCACGCAGTCGATGGTCACACTACGGATCTGGACCTACACAATTGCTGCATCACGCTGGTTCGTCAGAAACTACAAACGACAACTTGATCCCGCATTGCCTGTCAATCGTGCCGAGGCTGCCGAGGTTCTGGATGAGCTCGCTAATCGACGCTCTGAATTCATTGCCAAGCGGGGAGCGCGCGTGATCGAAGACAAGGAATTTATTAATACTGTTCTCAATGGTGGTTCACCCCCTGACACATTAAAAGATCATGAGCCTATCGGGAAGCTGCAGAATCTCGCTGTACGTCCGATGGGTGGCCTGCAATCTTCTGCATGGGGATTATATGGGTCTGCAGGACAACAAGCAAACAACTTTTCCAGCAGCGACCATCATGTCATTGATGTGGCAGTGCATGGAAGACATGATTATCCAGGCATGGAGCGAACATGTCCTCAAGGCATGTATCCCTGCATTTAGATGGACTTCACGGTGGATGAGTACATCTCATCGCATCGTGTCAGAAAGTAATACTTGACATGACCTCGTTTACTGTGAAGATTGTGGCCAAGAAGCAGTCCAGCTTTATCAGATCCGTCAGAGAGGGTGCTGTCCGAGCGAGTGAGTACAAAAGCGAGCCACAGCTGTTGCGGCAACAAGGCAATTGCGTGGCTTGTGCTATTCCTCTATCTCGACCTGCCGTGGTCGCTGCTGTCGGCAACAGTGATCTTGAAGAAATGCTGAGGCAGCGAGATCGAAATACAATTCCTATCGTTCCGTCGCGCCGTCGCACACATGTGTGGAGTTGATCTGGTCGGCTGCATCGGATTGCCCCCCGCCCAGGAGAAGGCCTTCATCTTACATTTCGAAGTTTATGGGATTCCCCATTGTGTTGCAATCAGACTAGACAACGCGAGCAGCACCACTATG